TAGACTTCTTTAATAATAGCTTCGAACCTTAATCTTTCCGATTACTGCTAATACTCATACTAACTCTACTACTATCGGATTTGCATTGACAATTACATCTCTGTGCTAGTGTGATATGGCAATTTGAAGTGATGTACGTGCGTATGAAGTTCTACGTTGTAACCGACTGACAGACTGACTGAGACTAAAGATATCATCATAGTTGTCCAATCCTCAAACAGTGATGTTACACAATTCTAAAATCATCGCTTCACCCGTCGATATTCTTACAATTCTAGCGAGCTGTGGTTGGATAGAATCTCTTCATCTTCTTCGATGGCTTTTAACCGCTTCATCGAACTTTCTGAGAGCAACACCTCATCAGATATGATGTTTAAAATGAGCTGATGAATTGGTTGTTTTCAATATTTCATCAAACGTTTATTTAAAGTAATTTTCAGTTGTGTAACGGTCATCCAGTGCTTCTAGGTTTCGAATAATGCTCTAACATTGGTCAATTCATGATTTCAATGAAACTTAAGTCTTCACAACCCTATAATAGTAGTAATAAGTGTGGTTGGTGTATACTTCTCGAAAAGCTACTTTCAAAAGTATGCACCGAAGCGTCGCCCAGAAGTTACTGCTAATAAAATGAAGAGTGAGTGTCAGATCTGGATGTATGACGCTATCAAAGTAAGTGTCTTGAAGACCAGAAGACACTTGAAAGAAGAAAGTCAATAATCTGCTTGTTTTTTAAATAAAAATCCGAAGATACGATGTACACACTTCACAGCAAATAAACTATAAACTCTTTTAATAAACCACTTATTTCCTCTGATCTTATTAACATCGTAATTCATTATTAGAGTAATAATTAGATAGGAAACTTTGAATGTGGATGTGAATCGACAATTCTAACTTATAAGAATACTGTTGTAGTGAAGGAGAACACAGGTGAGGGCAACCAGATTGTATTTAACGAAAATTACAGAGTTACTCAGTAAAATAGGAAAACCATATCGTAAATCGTTAATTTGCAAATCTTCAATCCATCATCAATCCATTATTGTCTGACATTTCACTACTATTCATGCGTTTCATACAAATTCCATTGTGTTCTAACTCTTCCTTTCTTGCTTGATCTTCTTCCCATCTTCTGCTGCCAAACATTACGTTTACACTCACGTCATATACTACTTATAAGTAGCTCGCACCACACTGTTTATTAAAATAATCAGACAATAATTACTCATAATTATTGAAATTTTGTCTTAATACGCAGTAAAAATAAGGTTTGCAACACACTGTAATTTTTTATATCAGTCATGCTGAGATCGAATTTTAACTTGTAAATTTAAAAATAACGACTACTTACTTACTTACTTACTTACTTACTTACTTACCTACTTACTTACTTACTTACTTACTTACTTACTTACTTATGCACTTACTTACTTAATTACTTACACCTATTGCCCTCAATAGAGTATAAGCCGCCAACTAGCATTCTCCAACCAAATCTGTCCTCCACTCCCTTTGCAAGTTTTATCCAAATACAGTTCATTCTTTTTATTTACGTCTTCGATTTTCGATGTAATGTGCTCTTTGGTCTTGAGAGTTACAAATTAGGACTTGTCTTGTGATGGATGCAGCTAGGTGCTGTCCTCAATATATGTCCTATCCACTTCCAGAGCTTCTTCCTGATTTTCTCCTCCACTGAAGGAATCTGGTTTGTTCTCTCTTCCACAGTACATGTCTTACCAAAGGATCTTAAGTTTCATTGATCACAATTGTCATATATTCTAAATGATATTGATAAACTTCTTGATTATCAGCTGCTTATTGATTGATTTATTGACTGATTGATTTCTTACTTCACATCAACAGATATTGATGCCTCACTAGTGAAATCAATCATTGAAATAATTCAAGAGAAAAAAGACACTACACCAATTCAAATATTTGATACAGTGAAACAAATTTGTTTAAATGAAATCTATCCATTTTGGATTGAATTTATGAAGCATGATGCATTTCAATTTGTTCAGTAAGCGATTTGCATTGAAAAAAAGTGGTTAGTTTTGATTGTGTGTTAACTTTTTATTTCTTAGAGTGATTTATCGATTGAAACTTTCGGGTTCATCATCATGATTGTGTTTTGATTTGGTGAATAATTTCATTTACTACTTGCTATATGACTGACTACATCAGCATATTATAAACTTAAAAGCAATGGACGGCGGTTTCTTTCTAGTCTAAGACTGACCCACTCATCAGAGCGATCGTGCATCCAAGTTATACAAGCCATTTTTACTGGCCAATCAATCGTATGTTTCAGTTAGTTAGCCAGTGGTGCCTGTTACCCCCAAATGGAGCATAGACCGCCCAACAGTTTTCTCCAACCAACTCTGTCCTGGGCTTCCCTTTCTAGTTCTTCAGTTTTTGTTCATTCTTCTCATGTCTTTCTCTATTTCTCGGCGTAATATGTTCTTTGGCCTTCCTCTTTTCCTTTTACATTGAGGGTGAGGGCTTGTCTTGTGATGCAGTTGGGTCCTTTTCGCAGTGTGTGTCGTATCAACTTCGAGCGCTTCTTCGTGCTTTCCTCCTGCACTTAAGGAATCTGTTTTGTTCTCTCCCACAGTACGCTGGTGCTAATCGTGTCTGGCCAACGAATCCGAAGTATTTTGCGTAGACAACTGTTAATCAACACTTGTATCTTCTGGATGATGCCTTTCGTAGTTCACCAAGTTTCTTCCTCTCAATACAATAGAACTGTCTTGACATTTGTATTGAAAATCCTGTAAACACTTCGGGGCTACCGCTGGTCCCAAGCCCGAATAAAGGAGGAGGGGGTTGGGCATGGGTTTGTCGCCTACATCCCAACTATAAACTAACTTGCCAAAAAAACGCTGACCAGAAGAAATAATCGTATGTTTTAATTTCTTGGAAATGAGACACATATACATACACCCTGTTGGTAGGTTGATTTTCTAAGACTTAGGACATGTGCACATAGGAATAAGTAATCTTAGATTATTTGGAAGACGATAGGAAATCAGATCTTCATTCATTGAATAGACTGTACATAAACACCATACATTTTGACCAAGCTGTTGGCTTTTTACCTTCAGTAGCTCAATGGATAGAACGTTGTCACTTGAAGGTAGGTAGTTCATGTTACAATGCAAACATCAACAGTCAGATTAAGTTACTTACATCCAACTGACTTGTTCTAATGATAATAAAACATTTCGATAACCAACTAATTATTTGGAAAAAAACCAAATTAATCCTCGTCTAGTGGATACTACTTGCTAAGTAACTTTCAAGTAGTATGTGGCAGAGTGTCGCTTGAAAGTTTTGAATATTAGAAAATAGTTTGAAAGAAAACAGTGAAGAATCTACTTGTCTTCCAAATGGATGTCTAAAGAATTAGATTTTCTAATTTGTTAGTAAATTGGGTCTCTTCCAAAATTTGGTTTTGTTCATGATGAAGTTTTATTCTCTGAGCGCTGGATTTTTTTCTTGTTGTATAGCCTTCATTTCAATTTAAAGATGCATTCAATGACAAGGTTAAGGTCAATAGCAACAGCCAATCGGGACTGAGGTCTACACGACAATTTACGACTGATATGTGGAGAAATTCAAATACTTCACTTCTACTTGATGTTTGCGCTGATGTTGTTGTTCAGAGGAACAAAGAAAGCTCAGAGAACGAAACTCCATCATGATCATCCACCTGAGCTACAAATTTTCTCCACAATCTCAAGGTCGTCTTGTTGAAGCACACACACAACCTTTATTTTGAAATTAAACGGTTTAAATCAGTAAAATGTCATCACTAAATTAGAAATAATACTCTCTCTTATGTGTCACCCACCAACTAATATGCTTAACCTTGAAAGACATTTTCAACTGTCATTTCGTTCCAATCTAAGAAATTGACAGAACGTGGTTAACAGTGAAATCCAAGAAGCTCTTTTCATCCTATTTGAAACTGACCTGTTGCTCAATGCGTAGTTCTGTCACATTTTAGAGTTAATATTCATGTCGGGACTCAAACAGATCAACTTCTTTTATTCTGGTCAATTTTTTTTAACAATTTTATCAACAATTATTGATTGCGTTTAAATGATTCTGAATTTTTTTCTAGCGCCACATACAAAAATACAAATAAAAATGAAGATTATTTAATGCCTAAATCACTTGATGATTTTGATGTACTGTTGGATGAGAATTCTAACATCATAATTCGACGCAAACCAATAGAAATGTAAGTCAATTCCTCAAATACAAGAATTGTCTGCGTTTCACGATAATAATAATAGTAGTAATTATTATTACTTTTGTGATATAATAAGCCAATCAGAAATGTCCTGAAGGACGAATACACATCATTGGTTAAGGAATGCTTTCTTTTGCCAAGGTTAAATGTCTACAGATTAGTATTTGCACATATGATTCTGCAGCCAAATGGACTTTATTTTCTGCTGTTATCTTGTCACTCAAGTGACTAGTTTTGCCGGAGGGGTAGCCAACGTGTACCGCCTTCAGATCTTGGACATCGCTTGCTTACTTACTTACGCTTGTTACCGTCGATGGAGCATAGGCTGCCGACTAGCATTCTCCAATCTACTCTGTCCTCGCCCATCCTTTCTAGTTGTTGCTCATTCTTCTCATGTCTGTCTCCGATTCTCGGCGTAATGTGTATTTTTTATTCTTTCTCTTCTCTTCTGGCCTTGACGATTCCAGGTGAGGGCTAGTCTTGTGATGCAGATCGTTGATTCCCACCTCCAGCGCTTCTTCCCGATTTCTACCTCCAATGGAATCTGGTTTGTTCTCTCATGATGATCAGCCCACCGCATCGAAACATTACTAGTCAACTAACTCACTAACGATCTACTAAGGTAACACATTGCACAAAAGCTGATATGACTCAATGTGAGGAACAAGACAAAGACTGTGATAGATGAAAATGTAGTGTATTCACTGAGAAAAGATTAGTCAGTAGTTTAATGTATAAAAGTAATCTGTTATATCATAGTTGTCTGGCCAAAAAACAATGTAGTGAATTTATCCAGTTATCTAATCGATGAGCTTGTAACATCTAGTTAGAGTTTTAGAAATTCTAGTATAAAGAAAGTTGTAACAAACAAGTTTTTTTAGAGTATCAAGTATAAAACTCATGGTAAGTGTCAATCAATCAGCTGCAACGTAGACCTTCGCACGTACGTGATTAGTTCAAGTTGCCACATTACAACATTAGCACAGAGACGCAATTTTCATTTGAAATCCCATAGTAGTACACGTAGTAGAAGCATGAGCAGCAGTCTGAGAGATTAGAGTTCGAAGACATTATTCAAGAAGTATAATCTAGTGAAATAAACGTAAAAGAGAAAAATAAAGGTGATGGGGAATCCACAGGGATAAGACAAAGAATAGATGCACCTACACGATTGCGAACGATTTTGAGCCATGTCAGTCAGTCAGACAGATACAACGCAGAACTTCGTACGTAAGTACATCAGTTCAGGTCGCCATACCACGTCAGCACAGAGACGCAACTATCAGTTCAAATCCAAGAGTGATAGCGATAGTAAAAGTATTAGCAGTAATGGAGAAGATTAGGGAGCGAAGATATGATTCGAGAAGTATAATTCAGTGAGATAAATTTATAAAGAGAAAGATAGAGATGATGAGGAATTCAGGTTAGAATTTGAGAGAACACAAAGAGTGGATGCATCTGCGCCATTGCAAGCGAGTTTGGGCCATGTCGTTCAAGGTCTCAAGCCACCAGAGACTTTCGTCCCGCGAACCCCAACCACATAGCCTACATCTACCAACATGACTCAGTCCACTTGTCAATGATTCCATGGATTTGTGACATTTTTTGGTCTGGCCGTCCCTAACTTTCTTCCAACCTATTCCTACACCACGAAACAAAGCTCTTCGAGGCAGTCGGTGGTTAGGCATGTGCAACACATGTCCCAACCATCTCAACTGATGAAGTTTCAGCATTTCATCTATTGATCTGCCATTCTTACCTATCACTCGTCTCCTAATAACAGCGTGGCTCACTCGGGTGTCTCGACGATATACGAGCAATGTTTTGAAGACACTTATGATCGAAAACCAATAACCTACGAATATCTTCTACTCTCACTGGCCATGTTTCACAGCCATAAAGTAAGACGGAGCGAACTAATGCACAGTATTCGAGCCATGTCATTCAAGATCTCTAACCACCGAATAAATGCATTCAATTACATTATAACAATTGATTCTATAGTATTCTGTGTAACATTTGTCTGATAATCATAATTTTTCATTGATATTAGTTGTCGTTAAATCGACCACCCATTGATTGCTAACCTGCCATTGATCAGTTTTATTTGATATATTTACATCCTGTATGGATTGCCTTGTTGTTGATTGCTATTAGGTCTCCTAAATTATCTTTTTCCAATGAGACTCGACAGTGATTGACTGAAAACATTTTTATAAAATTAGATAATAAAAATAGCTTTGTAAACGGAATTTTATTGACTGAAAAAAAAGTTTGAAAGAATAATTCCAAACAGAGACGGACACAGTCCATGTTTCCTTAATCGACTGAGGTGAGAAAACGACGTTGCTAATTTTTCCCAAAGTTTATTTTTTCATGACATGTGATAACATGCCGTGCTTAGATGTATATAAACACATGCTTACCAATCAGGATTCCCTAACCAATTCTGTCTTCTTCTCTCATTTCCGGTTGTTCTCAAGTGTCATTTATTTTTTTCTGATGCCTACCTCCCATGTCTCTCTTCCTTGAACTCTGAATATTCCTAAATCAGGGGGGCTTGATTTGTGATGCAATTCACTTGTTTCCTCAACGTGTGTATTCTATCCACCTGTTACACTTTTTTTTAATAATTTCTTTCTGAATTGAAATCAGGTTTGTTCTCGCTGTCACCTCTTGTAACCTACATTCCTATCGAGGAGTATCATTTGCCTTAAGCTAGCAAGTTACACGGTTTTCTATTCATTAATACTTACTGTTTATATTTCTAATATAATCTTTGAAGGAAATACTTGAATTTATGTGTTTCCCTCATGAAGCTAGTCACTAGTAAGCCATGACCAGTGAAGTTAAACCTTGTCGGGGTGTGGTGAAGCAGTTACCTCTCCCAAAAGTCAATGAGTGAGGTTACTCAGTACCTTGAAATTAGTTAGACAATGACACCACTGATGCGCTGACTCATTGGTTTTAGAGGTTTAAACATTCACGCGCACGAAACAGAAGGTCTCGGGCTTGATTCATAATTTCATCACAACTCAATAATCTTCATAACTCTCTCTTATCTATAATGGTTATCAAGCTGGATGTTTAAACAACATTATTCTCAACTATTCACCACTGTAGACAAAAAAAAGTCAATCCTTAAAACTTTTGCATTTTTTTTTCATTCTTTCTTATTGTAGTCCATCAAAGAGTTTATCATCTGATCAATTTAAACAATTACAATCTTGGAATAATTTAACTGCAACTGAACAAGAAGAACGTATTCGTATGAAAATGGAACAAGTTAGAATAACTGAACGAGAACGCAAGAAAGCTATTCTTGCTGCACGTAAACGTCAACGTGAAGCATTAAAGATAAAAGTATGAAAAAATTATCACTGTGTATATATTAGTTTGCTTAAAAGACAAGTTTTACTATAATTTAACTATTCTTATTGATTGAGATCATGAATCCCTCGTCATTGACAGACCAACAATATAAACTTGGAAGCATTGAATGATGGTCGTTTTGGTCGTAGTGAGAAAAATCGAGTTAATTAAAAACGAAAACATTACATTGAATACTGACTCTATTTGCACACCATCTTTGAGTCGTGACTTCCAACACTCCATCCTTCTTCGATTTCTGTTGTTGCTTCCTTTCCTTCCTCTGTTGGTATTCCATTTACTTCTTGCTTTTGCTCCATTTGCTTTCCGTTTTCCTCTTCTGACTGACCGTGCGAATTCTTCTTCTTCCACGTCCCTTCTTATACTACTACTTATATCGTACGTATAAGTAGCACACACCACACTAGTATGGGACTTCAGCAGCAGTGCATATCCACGAATCGCGCTACCCGCACGAATCGAACCGAGAACTTTCTGTTTGTCAAGTGAACAACACTTAACCTCCAGTGGTGTCACTATCAATCAATTTAATGATTTCGCGCAACATCACTCAATGTCGTCCGTCGGTGGGTTAAACTACCTCACATCCAACATGGCTGAACTCCATTGGTCACAGCTTCTCTCACGAATAACTCCGAGAATTTTCTCACCGAGCTAGTTCCTGATGTTGAGAAAACTGAAGCAGGCGCCAAATATTATATTATGCAAATTTACACTTTGAGTCAATTAAAAACAAAAACATTACATTTAACACTCCTCTATTTGCACACCATCTTTGAGTCGTCGTGACTTCCAACACTTCATCCTTCTTCTTCGATTCCTGTTGTTGTTGCTTCCTTTCCTTCCTCTGTTGGTACTTCATTTACTTCTTGCTTTTGCTCCAATTTGCTTTCCATTTTCCTCTTCTGACTTCTTTCACGTCCCTTCTTATACTACTTATATCGTTCGTATAAGTAGCACACACCACAGTGTGAGCACATACATACGCTGTCCTAACAATGATCGATTCATGCAACTTATAACAATCGTCAAAAATCTACAATCTGATTAATACTATTATTATTATTATTATTATCATTGCTTAGATTTTGAAACTGTAAACAATGTATTTTGATTTTTTTAGCTAGAAATTTAACCTGAACTAACTAACAATGATGATAGTGATAGTAATCATCATCCTGGAAAGAATCATATGAATGCTTCCTCATTTGTTGTTCATACAATTTAAGGATATGAAAAAAAATTAGAAATCACTGTGCATATTACTTAATTGTATTTTTAGTAGTATGGAAGAGAAGATTTAAATTTTATTTTTTTTAAATTTTCTTCCTTAAATTACTTGATAAATAATTAATTATTGTATGCTTTACATCATTCATTGAAGCAATTAAAAATGTACAAAAATTTCGAAATTATTACATACAAAACTTCCCTCTCATTTGTACTTCATCATTTAGTGAGACATTTTTCATTCGAAATCTTCTATCACACTATCTTGATTTTAAAAATTACTTTTTTTGATACTCTGGGATAATTTACCTTTAATAATCTGTCTCTGATCTGAAAATTACTCCCATCCTTCCATTCACATTGTAAATGTAACCATTAATTCGAATGGTATACATCTAAACTGAACAACAATCAAACATTCGACTTGAATCATGTTTCGGAAACTTGATAGATCTGACCGGCTGACCTATCTCGCTGGAATTATCGATTTTTTTCTCCGTGCACTCTCTCTCGCTCGCTTGGTCGCTGTCTGTTTGCGTTTTTTCTTTTCTCTAGTTATTCGCATGATTTTTTATATAACCACTGGGATAGTGACACTGGAAATAACTGTGATAACCAATTCCCGTTCATACTAACTAGTTAATGAATGAGTGACAGGATGTACTAGTTATATACTGCAAAAGAAAAGGCATGAATATATTGTCTGACTGTGACTCCCCTTGCATTACTTTGTACTGTGCATGTACAGCTTTCAAAAATTAGAACACTTCAAAACAATGAGATATGGCCTCTATATGTGTCTACGCCTTTACATGAAACATTTCTTTCGAATGTATGTATATCAAGCTAGATTGATCATGCTTATAAAGTGGCATGAATTATGTAACTATAATTATCATTGTTATTTTCGGAATATATTATTTTTGTTATTATCGTTCTTATTATTATTATCATTATTTAATGTTGGGATGTGAAAAAGGGCCGGTGAAAAAGTTGAGGAGGTTCGTAGGTTGTGAGTATTTGATTATAGATGTCTTCGGAGCTGTGCTGTCGTTGGGAAACAAGTACTAGGTAATGATAGCAAATCGATAGATTAGGTATTGAAACTTCATAAGTTGATACTGTTGGAACGTATGCTCAGCCACCGAATACCTTGAAGAGCGATGTTTTGTCATGTTTGAGTAGGTTGGAAGAAAACTAGAGGCGATTAAACCAAAACATGGCACATATCCATGACGTCACTGACAAATGGACTAGGTCATGTTGGTAAGTGTAGACTACCTAGTTGAGGTCCACGAGACGAAAGTCACCGATGGTTAGAGACCTTGAACGACATGGCTCAAAATCGTTTGCAATGGCACAAGTGCATCCATTCTTTGAGCTCTCTCAAATCCTAATCCTCTGGATTTTTCATCACATTTATCGTCTCTCTTTTTAAGTTTATTTCACTGAATTATACTTCTTGAATAATATCCTGGAACCTCAATCTCTTCGATTACTGCTAATAATTCAACTAACTTTAGTACAATCAGATTTGAATTGACAGTTGCTGACAAAGTACGTCAACTTGAACTTATGAACATATGCACAAAGTTCTACATTGTAACCGACGAACCGTTAGGAAAAAGTTTATATCATACGAAATCCGTAGTAGCAATAGTAGCCGATTTCTTAAAAATTCATAAGAAATATTTGTCTTGTAATGTAGGGAGAAAATTACTTTTAAAACAAACAGGAAATTGATGTTAGAACGCAACCTTATACAGTGTCTTCGGCGGGCATTGCTGCTAAACACACCCGAACTGGGTTGAAGAATTCCACTCCACTAGTTACGACTTCTCAATAGAACCTGGATAAATTTCCTTTAACGTAACTAATCACTAGTGAGTTTGCCTAGGTGGTTGAATTTCCAGCGTGTTTATGTAGGAAGCTGAAAGTTTCGGTTTTAACTCTCCTTTGCGAAGTCATATATGCGCACTGCTGGTGAGACTGTAGTGAACGAGAACACAGATGGGGCAACCGGATTGTATTTAACGAGAATTAAAGAGTTACTCAGTAAAATTGGAAAACCATATCGTAAATCGTTCATTTGCAAAATAACAGTCCATCATATCGAACTGGACTGTTCCTGTTGCAAAACATCAATCCATTGTCACTATTCATGCGTTTCATACAAATTCCATTGTGTTCTTCTAACTCTTCCTTTCTTGATCTTCCCACATCTTCTGCTGCCAGACATTACGTTTACACTCACGTCATATACTACTTATAAGTAGCGCGCACCACAAGACGAGATGACCGTTCATCGCTTCTAATTTTCTGGTAGTGGTATATTTTACTTAGGTTCATGATCTACCAACCATAATCAACATACTTTTGTGTTTCGTTAGCCCTACTCGTTCTCCTCATGGTTGACTGTATCATGAAAACTTCAACATCTTGTAAGCAACACTGAATACAGTGGCTATTTTGGATACAGCTAGACGACTTGGACTTCACAGATCAACATGCTCTTCTATGAAGCTGAAGACGGACAGTGTGGCGACAGCCTCAGAAGAAACAGACCTAAACGTACACAAGGAGAAAAGCAAGATCCTCCTCTGTCTTCCCCTGAATTCTAAACTTTATAACATCTCATAAACTCTCTCTCTCTCTTGAACCTTATTACAGATCTCTTAATTTTTCTATTACCACTAAT